AGTCTGAAGTTGGTTCCAGTTTTTCCATCTCACCCTGTATAGGAGTTACCGTTATAGGCAATTTTTGTCCTAGGCAATATCACTATTCAAATATGAAACTTGAAGCGATTTCGCAAAACCATCAAAGTTCTAAATATTGTGAGGCATTGCTTTTGGGGCTAACGAAGACGTAAACTTGCACATGCAATTTTTTGTCTTAGGCTGTAGTACCCATTACGAACTTCAAATACGAAATCTGAAATAATTCTGGTGAATATTGTCGCTAAAAAAGTGTCGAAGTGTCGAAAAGTGTGACACAAATCATCAAAATACCAAATATCTGAGGGTACAGTTATATGGGGACACATGCTGCCAATTTACAGCTAATTCGGGTTAAAACTGTTCGTAAAACACCCAAAAACAATTTAGATCTATTGGTACAGTTATGTGGGGGCTATACCAAAACGTTTACCTATATAGCCCTTTATATTTTGAGGGTTTTGAGGTTTTGGACGAAATATTTTCATAATTTTTAGGGGAAAATGTTCACATGGTCACAATTAATATTTGAAATATTTTAAATATCTCACTTAATTTTTTAGGGAATTACCTGAAACTTATGACCTTCAATTTATTTCATGGTCGAGGGTATAAAAAGTTCATCTTAACTGTTGCTGGGCTACCCCCTCCTAGCAGCTATGACACACTGTAAACAAATACGAGGCAGTACTTTTGGGTAATTCTGTTGTGACGCCAATTGTACATAATGTGGACTTAATAAATTTGCATAATTTTGTTAACATATCACGACCAGGCTTTGAAACATGGTATTACTGAAAAGTTTAACACATATTCATTCAAGTTTAACTGTTAAAAAAATACCAACAAGAATTAAACAATGAATTGCCATTTTTCGATTCTTCCACTACTGACAAGTTGCCGAAAATGATTTTATAGCATTTAAATTCGAATTTATTTAATTGGTACCAGCCTCGCAAGTAATTCGATTTATAATTTAGTAGATCTCCACATAACAATTAAAACTTTTTATGGGAGAATTCAATCATACACGATATGATTATAATTATAATTTAAAGTTCAAAAGCCTAAATATGCCGAAGCATTTGTATTTTTTTAATTCGGACTTGTATTGCCCATTTGATATATATGGGAGCTATATCCAAATCTGAACCGATCTTCATAAAATTTGGCAAAGATATTTCTGAGCTGTATTTCATATATTTCCCTAAATATCGTTGTTACGGAGTGCATATTACGCCTGTGGGTAACAAATATAACAAATCGAATCAACAGTTTACATGGAAGCTATAGCTATATCTGAACCGATCTTCACCAAATTTGACATACTAGCTTCTAAATTCATTTCGGTCGTAAGTGCCAGATTTCACCCCATTTAGGGAAATATTAGACGTTTGGTGCACAATAAAAGGTAAATCGGACGAAGTTATAAATGGGAGATATATCCAAATTCGAACCGATCTGGATAAAATTTAGCAAAGGTATTTCTGAGCTGTATTTGATATATTTCCCCAAATATGGTTATTATAGAGTGCATATTACGGCTGCGGAGGACTAAAATAACAAATCGGATGAACATATATATTGAAGCTATAGCTATATCAGATTGTAGCTATAGCTATATCAGATCCCATTTCGATCAAATTTGGCATAATTATTTTCAGGCCAATTTGGTTGTTTATGCAAAATCCCATATTATTCGGGCTGATATTACACGTTTGGTGCACAATAAAAGGCAAATCGGACGAAGATATATATGGGAGCTATATCTAAATTTTTACCGATTATCTCCAATTTCAATAGGGTTCGTCCTTGGGCCAAACAAATTATTTGTGCAAAATTTCATCTGGATCGGGTAATAAATGCAAACTGTACTTTGTTCACAAAAATACATAGACAGACGGACAGACGTATGGACATGGATAAAACGACTCAGAATGTGATTCTATGCAGATCATAAAAAGGAACTATGGGTCTATCTCGCTTCGTTTAGCCTGTTATAAACAAATGCACAAAGACATAATACCCTGACGACCTTGTGGTGTAGGGTATAAAAATAATTGGTTTGTTATTTAGAACTAATTTTCCATTTTACCACAATTCTCCTTTTAATACCCTCCACTATACATAGCATGGAGGGTATATTAAGTTCGTCATTCCGTTTGTAACTCATCGAAATAATAATTTTAGATCCAACATTGTATACATATTCTTAATCAGCGTAAAATTCTAAGAAGATTTTGCCCTGTCCGTCTGTTGTAATCACGCTACAGTCAGAAAGAAGATAGGAAGCTAAAATTTTGCAGATCTGTCTTTTGTCTGCAGGCAGGTCAAGTTCGAAGATGGGCTATATCGGTCCACGATATCGTATAGCCCCCATATAACAGTACTCCCCGATATTCGGCATTTTGATGATTTTAGCCACATTTTTCAATGGAATTGTCTGAAATTCTACACAAGAAGTTACTTGATTTGGAAAAACTGGATACATATCTTCCAGTCTTTGAGATTTAAAAGGACCATGGCTGTACGGTGATGTGGGCATATCTCCTTGCTCTGGTTGAATATCGAAAGAGATCTCTTGCTTTCTAATAATGACAGCACTTAATATTCGGCTGAACGTACTGTCGAGGTTGAAGTTTGTGTGGCAATATTTTTTAAATTTCGCACATATTAATATATTTGCGAATATTAAAAAAATTGTTGAAAAATACTGCTAAAATCATAAAAATACCGTATATAGTAAGTTACTGTTACATTGGGGCCTATATGAAGACATGGACCTGTATACGGAATACCAAGACCTGATCTGCATGTGCAATTTTCTGTCGTAGACTGTAGTACCCATTAATAATTACAAATGGAAAATTTTAAGCATTTCCTATTAAAAGTGTGACATAACTCATCAAAATACCGAATATAGGAAGGTAACGTTATATTAGGGCTATACCAAAACTTATACCTATATTGACAGTTCTATGCAAGGATGTTTCTTACATATTTTATATAATTTAGAGAAAATTCGGGATAAAATTGTGAATAATATACCCAATATAACCTTAAATCTGTCGGTATGTGTGGTTTTTACACAAATGTAATGGGTTGTAGACCAAAATTCACAATTTAGCTCCTGCCCTACTCTGTGTACCAAATTTGGTACAATGTTGTACTTTTAGGTCACATTATAGTACGCATTTGTAAATTTAGAAAACTACCTCAAATCTCAAAAATACACACTAAGTTCAGAATTCCAGTGCTATTGGTTCACACAAATCCAAATTCAGTACCAATAAGTATGAATTTTCAAAACTGCCTACATTCCTAAATCCTAAACTCCAAATTCCCAAAACTACCTTGATAACTCAATCATATAATCCCATAGAAATCTTAATTCCAAATTTCAGAATTCCAGCTCTATTGGATTACCACAATTCCAATTTAGTAACATTTAGTACACATAAGTATCGCATTTACCAATATCCGGATATCAGTCCAAATCCAAATTGTGCTAAATTTAGTATTATTTGGTACACATAAGTACGAATTTCCAAAGATTCCTACATACCCCAATCCTATGCCATGTTTACGTTAGAACTTTTTGTAGGGTTAACCTACTTTGAGAGGATTTATTTGAAGTAAAAGTAATGGATATGACAATTTAAATCAACATCCAGTGGGTTAACCCTCATATATATAAACGTACTTCTACACTCCAGCTGTAAATTTATTTTCAAATTTAAGGATACCAGCTCCATTGGTTCACTCAAATTGAAATTTTATCAAATTTTGTAACATTTATTTTCCAAATCTTCCAACATACCTCAGTCTTACAATGCAATAGCAATCTTATTCCCCAATTTCAGCGTTCCAGCTTATCGGATTACCCAAATCGAAATTGTACCGAATTTAGTACCCTTTAGTAGTTTTCGTGCTCATAAGCACAAATTTCGAAAACTACCTCCATATTCCAATCCTACTCTCCGATGGTAATTTCAAATTTCAGGATTCCAGCTCAATCCGTTCCTCCAAATTCAAATTGTACCAAATTTAGTACCGTTTAGTGTTTTTCGTGTACATGAACACATATCTAAAACGAACTCCTCACATCGACCCTATTTTTCAACTTTGATTCCCATTCCAAATTTAATTTTTTTAGCTCTAACCGTTCATACGATACAAAATATTACCAGATGTAGTACACATTAGTACTTTTCGTACATTTATGGTGGGTATTTTCAAAAACCCTTTAATACATCCATCATTAAACCTCATTCCAAATTTAAAAGTTCTGGCTCTAATGTAAAAGCTCAGCCTTATCTGACACATAGAAACCACGAGTGATTCAATTTTTTTTAAGATTTTAGCTTAAGCCGTTTTGTTTGGGCGTTTAAATATACAAATATCTTCCTCCTCATCAAAGTCAAAAAAAAGGTGAATTGATAGAACTGGCGATATTGTGAGCGTGTTGGAGTTTTGGTTAGATTTTCTTATTTAAATAAATAGGATTTCGTTGGACTCTAAAATACTAAATCTTTAAGAAAATCTTGAATTTTGTAGACATTTCGAAAACATTCAGGCAATTTAAACTTTTAAATTTCTAAAACTTTGCAATCATGAAGGAAGGCTGTGTAACAGTTTATCTGACTCTTCCACGTTTTGTTGTTTATGCCATAAATATATTTGCAAATTCTGATATAATCTTCCCTGGAAGCACACAAGTAGCCGTAATGAGATGCATGACATTATTACTCTTCTGCGCTTTCGAATGGAAATCTTCCGTAACACACTCCTACAGCAAGTAAATACTAACACAGACCGCAGATACATACATATGTATGAGCGCACTATTTGCTCATAATTAAATGACTTGTTCTGTACTTTTTTGTTTGTGCGACTCTTTAAGTCTAATTGTATTCAAATTTATAACAATGACGTAGCACTTTACTAATTTATTGTTTCATCATCTTTCTCTCTTTCCACAGCAATTACAGATTGCAAAAAGTGGCCGATACACCTACGGGCCGGTGCATTTGCTTGGTACACAAAGACTCGCTGGCGCTGTATGCCAACATTGCAGCATCGGCGAAATTCTCGGAAAACTTTTTGCGAAAAATCGAACAGGATGAGAAAGCGTTTTTCCTACGCAATGCCGGCAACAAGCAAATCTTCTACATAGAAGGCTTTTTTGTGCCTCACCGTGAGGAGGTGGTCACATATGTGGTGCGCAACTACATACGCGGCAGACGGCGACTGGCTGTTAATCTGAGTGCTCCTTACATAGTCCAAGCGAATTACGAACAAATGTTGTATTTGGTGAAGAATGCGTTTTTCGTAATTGGTAACAAGGATGAGTTCGAGACATTCCGGGAATGTTGGGGTGCCCAAAGTATTGATGACTTGGCTCAGGAACTATTAAAACAAAGTCAGACACCAAAAATACTAATTATGACCAAGGGAGCTAAGGGTGTAACTCTGATAACAAACTACCAAGATGAATTCTCACCGCCCGGTGAGATAAGTTTTGAAAACTACAATGTCCCGCGTGTTGAAAACATTGTTGATACAACGGGTTGTGGTGATGCATTTGCTGCAGCGTTCCTACACGCTTGGCTGGAGAAACGACCGTTGGGCGAGTGTGTTCGAGTGGCCGGAGATGTTGCGGCCAAAGTTGCTACACAAGTTGGTTGCAATTTGCCTTAAGTTTTTTTGGTTTTGTAGCTTGTAATGGTGCTTTGGCACTTAAGATGATGCTGTGACGAAAATATTCATTGCAAAATGCTAGATTCCTGGAGAACCTTAGTATTTGTTTAATAATATTATTATTTTTTAAATTTATTTATATACACAACATACATTGTTTGTCATGCTTTTACTCTTACATTGATATTTTATTTTATTTTATTGCATTACAACAACACATTTGAATCTCCAAGCAATTATTTACATACATACAAATATATCTCATTTGTCATTTAAAGATTTTCCATTATTCATTGGTAATTCTCATAATTTAAACAATAAATAATTTTATACTTAAACATTTTTTAAAAATTATAAATAGATTGTAATAATTAATAAATGTAGTTCTATTTCTATATAGGGTTGATGAGTAGACCGGGGACCTTACTCTTTTAATGGTGGTCCAATTTTATTAAAGGGTCAAAGGGAAAATGTTATGACTTTTTTATGTTGGAGTTATCGAACTAATCGATAACAACGCATGTAAAGTGTCTTAAAGCATGTCTTCGAGCTTGTTTTCATGAGTATTGGGGAGTTTTGAGAGACTTCTTGCAATGTTAGGAACGAAATAAATTTTGGGCTTATAGGTGACCGCAAGTTCTATGATCCCTTAAATTACACTTTTTATTGAGCAACACGATTCACTGTCTTCAAATAAGATAATATGGGGAAGGAAGCGATATAGACCCATAGGTACTTTTGAGGATTTTCATAGAATCACTTTCTGAGTCGATTTATGCATGTCAGTCTGTTCATGTATTCTTGTGAACAAAATGCAAGTTGGAATTTATTTTCCGATTGATATGAAATTTGCCAAACAATATTTATTGGGCTCAAAGCCGAATCCTCTCGAAATTGGTGATAATCGGATCAAATTTAGATCCAATTTCGGGTTAATTGTGCGCCAAATGACCAATATAAGTCCAAATGACCTGAACTTTGGTACATCTCACAAAATTTAACCTAGAAGCAAGTACATCAAATTTTGAGAACATCTGTTAAAATATAGCTATAGCTCCCATATATATATGTTTCATCCGATTTCGGTTTTTAAGTCCCTCACATTCGTTATATGCACTCTACAAGAATGATATTTGGTACCGGACATCAGATACTGCTCAAAAATACTTCTGTCAAATTTTATGGAGATAATTTCAAATTAGGATATAGCTCCCATATATATCTTTATCCGATATCAGGATTATTGTGCACCAAATGGCTAATATCAGTGCAAATGGACTGAATTTTGGTAATTACGACTGAATTCATCCTAGAAACCAGTACTTCAAATTTGGTATAAATAGGTTCAGATATAGCTATAGCTCCCATATATATGTTTTATCCGATTTGGGTTTAACGTCCCTCACACGCGTAATATGCATTCCACAACAATGATCTTTGGTAGCAGATATCAAATGCAGCTCTGGAACAAGTGTTTTAAATTTTGTCAAGATTGGTTCAGATTTGAATATAGATCCAACATATATCCTCCACCGATTTCGAGTTAATTGTGCACCAAATAGCCAATATCATTCCAAAATACCTGAATTTTGGCATATCCGATCGAATTCAGTCTAGAAGCAACTACATTAAATTTGGTGGAAATCGGTTCAGCTATAGCTCCAATATACATGCTTCATTTCGATTTGGTGTTTAAGTCCCTCACATGTAATGTGCATTCGATAACAATGATATTTGGTACAAGATATTTTATAGAGCTCGGAAATGGATCTGCTTAATTTGATATAGATCGATTCAGATTTGGATATAGCCCCCATATATATCTTCAACCGATTTCGGGTTTAGTGTGCAAATAATGGCTAATATCAGCCCAAATGGAGTGAATTTCGGGACGTACGTTTCCATTAGAACTCGGCCCCGATATATATTATTTTAATATAATCCTTCTCGGAGTGATATCATGTACTCTATAGGAATGTTATTTGGTATAAAGGATTAAAATGTCTCCGTCAAATTTAGTGAAAATCGATTTAGAATTGAATATGCCTTCCATATATTAGTTCCCTCTGAAACCAGACTGTAACTGCTATAAAGCCAACTCTTATTTCACATTTTATAAGTTACTAGCTGAACCCGGTGCGCTTCGCTACCCCTTTTGATTTTATATGCATTCAAAATTTTATTTACAAATATATGTTGGATAAAGAAAAACAAATTTAAAAATTAAAAAAAAAAAAAAAATATTGCACTAATTTAATGCGTTAATAAACAAAATCATTACAAAAGCACTAACATGACATGCATACACGAAGGGTTTGTCCTTTGGATTTATTTATTTCATAGCAAATACCAAGCGTGCAGGAAACTGCAATTTTTTTATGTAGAGTGGCATTTCTATTGCAATTAGTGAACTCGAGATAGCAACATACTTCGCCGTAATAAGCGTATTTCAAATAAATTGTTGTGTTGTTTTTTAGTGTTAGCCTAAGGCGTTGTGGGTCAATGGTTCTTATTAAAATCATATCCCAATCTGATCCGATTTAAATATAATTTTAAAAAAATTACTTTTACACCAAACTCCGCCACACCTTTCATATTTCATTGAAATTGGTGCGTCAAATATGTGAAATCGGCCGAGAATATATATATGGGAGCTATATCCAAATCTTAACTACTTTCCAATTAATTTATCACATTTATTATTATAACCAAATTCCACCACACATTCTGAATTTCATTGGAATCGGTCATATATATCGTGTTTGGTGCATAATATGTATGAAATCGGCCGAAATAAATATGTTAGCTATATCCAAACCTCAACTGATTTCAATATAATTTGGCAGTTTTTGCTGGTGCCAGATTTTGTCCCTCTCGCTTTGGGTGCATCAAATATGTGAAATCGGCTGAGTATGTATGTGGGAGCTATAATCACATCTGAGCGTATTTGATTATAATTTGTCAAATTTATTTTTGTACCAAATTTAGCCACTCATGCCGAATTTCGTTGGAATCGGAAATACGTATCGTGTTTTGTGCATCAAATATATGAAATCGGCGCTATATATGGGAGCTATATCCAAATCTGCACCGATTTTAATATAATTTGACTAATTTATTTTCTAATCAAAATCCCGTTACATATTCCAAATTTCTTTGGAATCGAACATACATATCGTGTATGGTGCATATAATACATGAAATCGGTCGAAAATATATATGAGAGCTATATCCAAATCTGAACCGATTTTAATATAATTTGACAAATGTATATTTGTTTTAATTTCCGCTACACATTCCAAATTTCATTGAAATTAGAGATATATAGCGTGTTTGGTGCATCAAATACATGAAATCGCTCGAAAATAAATATGGGAGCTATATCCAAATCTGAACCGATTTCAATTTAATTTGACAAATTCATTTTGGCACCCAATTCCGTTACTTATTTTAAATTTCATTACAATTGGAAATACATATCGTGTTTGGTCCACCAAATACATGAAATCGGCCGAAAATGTATATGGGAGCTATATCCAAATCTGAACTGATTTCAATATAATTTGGGAAATCAATTTTTTAGATAAAATCTATCACACGTTTCAAATTTCATTGAAATTGGGGATACATAGCGTGTTTGGTGCATCAAATGCTTAAAATCGGCCGAAAATATATATGGGAGCTATATCGAAGTCTAAACCGATTTGAATATAATTCGACAAATTTATTTTCTGATCAAATTCCGGCACACATTCCAAATTTAATTGGAATTAATCATACATATCGTGTTTGGGGCATCAAATGAACGAAATCGGTCGAAAATATATATGGGAGCTATATCCAAATCTAAACCGATTACAATATAATTTGGCAAACTTATTTTTGTTCCAAATTCCGTTACGTATTCCAAATTTGAAGACTGTATCTTCAAACAATCAATAGATATGTGCATATAAAATCTAAATTTTTGGGATGTACCTCCGATTCTGATGCTATATCTCCAGTTCCAAGTGGAAATTCAAAAATCTATATAGCCTATGTTACTTTCAGGCGATGTTGCAGTATATATGAAAATTTTCAGGAAAATCTATTCAGCGGTTTTCGAGTCCATAAATTACAAACAAACAAACAAACATACAAACATTTTCCTCTTTTATAGATATAGATAATTGTTCAAAATGTTGGCGCCTTATGGGGGAGGGGGTTAGAGGATAGTCTATATCAGAGGGCTGCAACGAGTATGCAAAAATTCAAGCATACTCGGTTTCTTACATGATTTTTGTTGATGCCGTCGTTTAGTTTGATCTGAATGAAATGACCGTTTTCGCTTCTGATCGAATCGAACGCTCAGTTTGAATCACTTCACTCACAATCAAACATGAGCGTTCGAGACGGTTTGATGTGTTCAGCAACATGAGTTGATCGAACACATGAATGTAAATGAGCAATCACAACCGTGATTGTCTTCTTTGAATCGAGTTCGCTCAGCGTCATTGTTTATTCAACCATTTAATCAAGTTGGGACAGTTTATTTTGACTTTTTTAATATTTGAAATGGAAGAATATTGTGATAGTGCGACCGAAATTGTTGCAAGTAGAAACTACACAGGTGTAGGTAAACGAAAAGGTCGAAGTTTGTGAAAAATCTTGACCAATATTGTAAAATAAAAAAAATATTTAAACATTTTTAGTTTTCTAAATACCAATGATGTGTTTCTTTATTAAAAACTAGCTGGCCCGGTCCGCGTTGCCGGCCCATAGTTTTTGTCTATTATGCATATTTGTCAAAGCATGATTATTCAAAGATATGAATGTTATAAATGTTCTTGTACTGGTCGATTAGTTTTTAATTTTTAGTCAAATGAGCAGTAATTTGGAATTTACTGTACCCCCTAACCATGTCGGTCTGTTTGTCCGCCAAAAGGTGGACTTGAGGGAATACTATTACATGGAGAAAATCCTAAAATTTGTAGATATGTTGAAATTTTTGTGTAAGATTTTCATCCCCAAATACTCATTTTTAGCCAAATCCTTTGAAATATGGTAAAATGCGAAACATCGACCTACATTGAAAACTTTCTTCACCCCTTATAATCCAAGATGACAAATAGAGGCCAAATCAAAAATATAGCTATTTTACATCCATTACCGTAAGATGGGAATTAATTTTATTTGCCATTTAAATTGTAAGTTGGAGTCCATATTTTTCATCATAGTATAATTTAATGACGATTCAACAAATATTCGGTCCCGTGCTAATTTCTTATATTTGTAATTTGTTCATGTTTTCACAATTTATTTCATATAGATGTATATCCCAAATCTACGTTCCCAACCAATATTCTCTTGGGGGTTACAAATTCAATAGAATACAAATTTTTCTTTTCTGACCACACATTAGATGTGAAAGTGGACTTGGGGATACTCCAATGTGGGGACTTTACATGAATAGATTTCTATGTGGCAATTATCTGTACGATGGTTCCTTACCCCAGGGTAGCATAAATAAAATTTTTTAGTGGTCAAGACCAATATGGGCCCTACTCCGAAAATTTTATGCGAAGAGGTTCTGTACCCCCCTTAGAAACAAAGATGCCAAATAAGGGCCAAAAATAGAAGAAAATGGCGAAGGCTCCAAAAATGGCTTAAATCATACGATGATTATTTATGATCGATATCATGACCTGCTAAAGCGATTTAAGGTATCTTAAATGTTCAGGCAGAATTTTTGGAAGGATAGAAATCCTTTTCTTTATATTTGGTATTTTACTGATTGTACTCCCAAAAATTTTTGCATTTTGAGCTCTCATTGGACGGATTATTGTCACATGAAAGAAGTAGGGCCACGCTTTGAAATAAGCCCCATTAGTCTTTTTCGGTCATTTTTGTTCGTTTAAATGTCTGCGCATCTTCCAGCTGAAGCACGATGTAGGCCCTGGAGTTGAAAGGTAGATGTCAGTTACCATCGTATTTCGCACTTATTTCATTTTTTTGGTGAAAAATTGTATATAGTGAAAAATTATTCTTTATTTTGTTCACAAAAAATCCACTGAATTCAATATGTATTACGAATTGAAAAAAAAATTGACAAAAGAAGAATAACAAATTGAAAAAATCTTTAACTTGTTCGCTGATTTTTTACAGCAACTGTTTAAAGATCCTTACAAAGTTTGTCAATAGAATGTACTTTTATTTTAAAATTCAATTCCATTGGAATTTTTTTTCGATATTTTCCCGTTTTGAGAATTGTTGCAATGAGATCTCTTTTTTTGTGTTTCTTTTTAACGATTTTGAAAAAGTAATTTTCTTTTAACTTTGGTGTGACCGCATTAAATTATTTCGGTATCATCTATTCCGTTTCGCCACCACATAATTCGGTACTACACTTCCATGTAATCCGTTATCAATTTCAGTTCTCAAGAAATCAAGTCAATTAAATAAATTGGTATTAATATTCGAATTCAAAAATAAAATATAAAAAACACTACAAATGTACATTAGAAAAAAGTAAGTCAAAATGGAAAAAATCATGCAAAATAAAACATTACTATTGTACATTTCAAAAGTCAAAATGAAAATGTTAACATATCACATTTTTACGCGATTTTTTTGGATATTATCCTTTTCGGATAAGAGACAATTCCGAATTTGTATGAATCATTAAAATCAGTTCAGCGGTTCTTAAGTTATAAGCGTAGTAACTAACACAACTTTCATTTATATATATAGATTTAATTTTGTTTTTTCTTTTTTTCAAATAAGTTACTGAAGTCTAGCATACCAAAAACCCAAATAAAATGAAAAATTGTATGCTTATTAAATATAATTTGTACCAATTTCTTTAATCATGATTTCGCTCAAATTTGAACATTTGTGTTTTAATCAAATCAAATCACTCACTTAACTAGCATAAATAAAACGATCAGACCCATCATAGATGATCGACCCGTTATGAACAATTCAACATAAGTTCGTAAACAAATAACTCATGTGAGCTGTTTGATTGCCATCACAAAACTTCGATCAATACATGTTTGATCACAACTTTTTCGTTTGGCTTGAGTAACTCGAATGAACATGTTGCATCTGACCGACTGATTGAGTTTGATTGTATTTCCACTGTGTGTGATCAAGCCTACTCATTGCAGCCCTCTGGTCTATATTGGAATTGGCGAAGATAGCACAAAATCGAATGATCCTTTCTCTTTATATGAGGTAAATAATTTTCTTTTAAAATTTTGACCTTTTGTGATGCCCGTGAAGATAAATTTTAAAATATAATAGCAAAGACACAAAATATTTTTTTTAATATTAATGATTTTTACTATTTTTTGATAAATCAACGTATTTTCAACAAATATTAAGATAAAACCAATTCTCCTAAATTAAGTTAACAGGAAAATGACACAATTTCCCGACGAGGACGAATAAACAGCGTGGGATTGGGGGTAGGGACACTGCATGGAAAATGCCAAATTGCAGAAAAACCATAATATCTGCGTCATTTGGGCGGGGCTCAAATGAAAGGTCTCTAGGAGTACTTTCTAAGTATATATGCCTTATATTCCCAAATGATTTCAGATAATTGAATTTTTCCGATTTTCTAATCAAAGTGGGGTTAACGGTAGCGAAAATACATGGAAAATTCTGAATTGCACAAAAACTATGATAGCTGCGTCATTGGGGCGGGATTCAAATGAAAGGTCTCGAGGAGTACTTTCTAAATATATATGCCTTATATTCCTAAATTATTTCAGATAATCGAATTTTTCCGATTTTCTAACGTGAGGTTGGCAGTAGGGAAAAAGCATGGAAAATTCTGAATTACACAAAAACTATAATAGATGCGTAATTGGGGCTAGACTCAAATGAAAGGTCTCGAGGAGTATTTATATATGTATATATGCCTCATATTTCCAAATGATTTCAGATAATCGAATTTTTCCGATTTTCTAACCAAAGTGAGGTTGGCGGTAGGGAAAATACTTGGAAAATTCTGAATTGCACAAAAACTATGATAGCTGCGTCATTGGGGCGGGATTCAAATGAAAGGTCTCGAGGAGTACTTTCTAAGTATATATGCCTTATATTCCCAAATGATTTCAGATAATTAAATTAATTTAGGAGAATTGGTTTTATCTTAATATTTGTTGAAAATACGTTGATTTATGAAAAAATAGTAAAAATCATTAATATTAAAATAACTATTTTTCAATTAACCCCTTGTGAACCAACACAAAATGCATGTGGTTTGTGTATTTGCTATTCTATTTAAAAATTAATCTTGTACCGATATTGCCCAATTTCGAACTCAATCAAAGTTTTATAATAATATCGTGCTGTACCGAATTTTGACCAAATCGGATATTCTCTTCGACAGAGACCTAGGGTCTAAATACGTTATTTTGGTGAGGTACGGTATTAAATGGTATATACACTCTGTAGCCATATGGCTGAGGATATAAAAAGGAAGACACGTGTATCGGGGTTTTTAAAAATTATATCGCAAATTTACGTAAATATAGGGGCCTTTTTGACATTTTCTGATTAATATTCCTTGGAATCCGGTGATATTAAGTAAATAGTGTATTTGGCAATATTACTGAAAACAACACGAGGATAATTGTGGTTGAAAATGTTAACCATCAGGCGAGTAATGGCATATTTTATTTTTTTTTTTTCGAAAAAAAGGAATTCGGTACCGAGATATATGGTATATTTTATTTTAATTTTGCACATGAACTAAGATCAACATTTATAAAGAAAGATTACGAGCTCTACTAAAGTTTTTCAAAAAGAAAAAATAATAAATAAATCAGAAATATACATGAAATTTTTATTTGAATAGATACAACGGTCCATATATTTTAATATTTGAAGATTTTTCATGCAATTGTTAACCGCGACAGCGCCTCAAATCATCCATCCTCTTAGTCCAATTTTGGCATTCTCTTTTCGACATTTTAGCCGGTTTCTCACGAATAAATGATACAATGTTGTCTTGCAATGGGTCAATTGAAGCGGGCTCGTTTGTATAGGCATGAATTTAAAGGCGTTAACTCCCACGATCAAGGTGGCCAATTGACCGGTCCTCTGGTACCTCCCTCACAACGGCATTTGATTCTTTTCAAACGACGAGACAACGAGGCATCTTAATATACCCACCAATACATTATCCAGTATGGAGATGGGATACATCCGCCTACTCCTTCCGGTAACTGCCACACAAAGGGTCAACATTTTTAATAATTATAACTCGCATAACATGTAAACTATCATAACGAAAAGCCAACGATTCCTACAAACTTTTTTTCCTATATTACAATATTTTTACCAACCAGAGATCTGATATATGGAATTCATCGATCCACACCTTCTGGTACCTTCCCCACAAGGTTTCAAAATTATGAGTAACTATAACCTTTATACTGGCGAAAAAGTCTGCTATTTTCTTTTAACTTCGTGTTCATCTATATTTTAATCAACAATAGGCAAATCCGATTGACACTTTTAATTTGTTTTCTTTTTTTTGACGATAGACCAAACGGTAGATGTTTCACTGTAAAACAACACACAAACCGTGTATGAGTTGTTTAAACCAGTGTTGCCAAAAATATAATATCATGGTAGAAGAATATAGGTAGACGCGTCGACACAGCTGCTGGGACAATGAACTGTCAAACCAATTTTTGAATTGAAAATGTTGAATGAAAAATTATTAAATTTGTAAAAATTGTTGAAAAACGCGTATTATAATAGCCTCCGACTGACGTAGTATAAGAAAACATATAAAAATCTACTTATATTTGAAAAAACATTTAAATTTTTTTGACATATCAATGCGCTCAAGCGTTGATGCATCTACCTGTATTCTTCTGCCATGTATAATATCTAAGAAATCAGCCGTTACATCCATTTTTTTCATAAAACATAAGGAGGCTCCAATTGACACTTTAATCCATTCAATTTCCATTTAGCTGATATGTCTCGGGTAGTCTCTTTTTCCGTTTTGACTAATTCTTGTGACAATTTTCTTGGATCACTGATTGACATACTCGTAATTTGGTTCTGGCGAATCTACTGAAAATCGATTATTTGATATTGCTCTGCCATTGTTGGTGGTCAATAAATTGTAGACGGATCTCAGTCGAGCACTTCTCTTATCATGAATTCTAGAGAATAATCGTTGTCCATATCCACACTCCTTACCACCATATGAATTTAGATTTTACTTATATTAAAAAGGTGCCGTATTAAAAGTGAGATCGTCAATGCTGAATTTATTCATTTATTGTAAACATTAACAAAATAACGGCGATAGTGAAACAGTAATTTATGATGCAATACATTCGAAACATTTAAAGTAGATATTCATCTTATTATAAGCAATTCAAGCAAATTATTTTTCCAACAAATTTAGCGCCATCTATAGTTGAAATTTTAGAGAACAATGCTATGAATAAACCTTATTTAGTACTCGCTGGATTATGTCAAGAATATGTTACTCGTATTGCGAAAACTTTAGCAAACTAATATGTAGATGGCGCTAACATCATATTTAAATTCCAATCAGATAAAGACAAAATGATTTAATCAACTTTCAGATAACAAATGTGTGTAAAATTTATTTAGTATTGAGGATACATTAATTTTGACATTCTGTTTGTAACATTATGAAATATTTATTTTTAGTATCTATATTCCAGTGCTAAAATCTAAAACAATATAGCAACGTCCATTTGTTTATTGGAAAATCCAATTGCAAACAATTCTGTAAGAAAGCTTGGCTAAAATCATCAAAATACCAACTATCGGCAGAAGAGGGGCTGTATAAAAACGTTGACATTACGGAATCCAAATACTGAATTTTAAGTAATTCCGTTAGAACATATGGCTTAAATCGTCAAAATACCGAATATCGGGAAGTACGTTTATATGGGGTCTTTGAAGACAGCACCAGTATAAAAGAAGACTGCCCTAAGGGAAACAGAATGAGTGACGTCGTTAAATAAGGAGGTAAAAAGATGTCCTTGGATACTGGAAAGAACTATAACACATCGTTTATGTTGATAGAGTACCTGAACAAAATAATGATCGCATTCAAATCAATATTATCAATCAACCTTAGCAAGAAGAGAGAAGAAGAAAAAGCCAACAGAAATATGCAAGAATATCAACAGGCCTTAAACAAGGGACAACCTTACGTTTCACCAAACGGTATAGCATTGCTAAAACCACCAATCAAACTTTCAGAATATGAATAAATTATTGAACGGAATAACTGGAAATCTTAATAGAGAACAATCATATATTTTGAGCAAAATTAAGTCTACATTGAAAGATGAATCAATGAACATAGAGCTATATTTAATAAAATCAACTGATTGAATCTTAACAACAAATACAAGTTAAAAAGCAGTAAGTTCGGCCGGACCGAACTTTGAATACCCTCCACCATTTGGAATGAATTTGGGAATTTTCAAAACAATAAAATACGTTAAAAATTTTGTTAAAATCTTAAAAATACCGAATATAGCCATTATATTGGGGTCTATACGACGTGGACCTACATAGGCATTGCTTGTTATAAGCCATTACTATATTCAAATTCGAAACTTGAAATAAACGGTAAATAATGTAGCTAAAATCATCAAAATACCGTATATAGGGAGGTAGCGTTATATCGGAGCTATACGAAGACGTGGACCTGTGAAGACAATTTTCTGTCACAGGCTGCAGTTCCCATTACGAACTCTATGTACGTAATTTGTCATACGTCATAAGCTGTAGTATCGATTACGAACTTCAAGTTCCAAATTCCGGTGAATAATGTCGCTAAAATCCTCAAAATACTAAATATCGGGAGGTACCGTTATATGGGGGCTGTAGGACAGACAGACAATTTTCTGTCTTAGGCTGTAGTATTCAGTATAAACTTAAAATACCAAATTTTAAAAAATTCCGGTGAATAATGTCGCTAAAATCATCAAAATACCGAATACCGGGAGGTACCGTTATATGGGGGCTATATGAAAGCGTGGACCTACATGACCCATTTACTTAACCTGTGTGCAAAATTTTAGCCATCTATCTCAATTCGTTCGGCTTAGAATTTTAAGCTGATGAAGAACATATATACTTTGTTGGGTCTGACATGGTGGAGTATAAAAAAAGGACATTGTGGTGTGCGCCTGTTAGAGGGTTAAATTTAATATAAGAAGAAGAATTTAACTGTAGTCATTCATCAAAAAGAGCTGGTTGGTATACGTAGATGGTCTGTCAGCCGTGTATGACATTATTTTCAGACGTATCATACATACGTCAAAAAAGTCGTAAACCCAGACAAATAACAAGAGTTTTTACAGAAACGTGGTGATTGAATACAGAGGAAATTAATAAGATGGGAAAAATTCATTGTTGCTTCATTCAATTCAATAGATGGCGATGGTAGTGGAAAATATGCTATGACACCATATCGTGACAGCATTATGTTATGACGTAACATAGCGGACACTTCTATTGGATTTCATCGATTAAATGTGCACACGCCAATTTTTGAGTTATATCTGTTACCTTTAATGCCGTTTTTTGCGATATCAAATTAACATATTTCTGTATATTTTCTAATGCATTTTGGCACGTCGGCGGCCATCGTTAAATCCAATATGAACTTTGCCCAATTTTTACAGTTTTATGTCTTTGGAACAAACGTCCACCTTACAGTACGTTTACATAAAATGGATTAAACCACTGGATTTGGATTAAACCTGTCATATCAATTACTTATACTTCAAATAAATTCTCTTGAAGTCGGTTAACCCTGAAAAAAGCAATAATGTAAACATGGAATTAAGGTTTTGTGCTCTTTGCATGCTCTCAGCATTAACTTAAGCAAATTTGGAAGACTTGTGCAAGCAAACTATACTCATTCAGATCAGCAATAATACTGCCTCAACGTTTATCGACCAACTTGGGATGTATTATGTGGGATATTACAGTTTTTTAGAAGATTTTGACGTTTTATACTTTATCTACGTTTTACTATATAACGTTTACAACAGACCATCTCCGTTGGTATAGCAGTGGTCAAATGTCATAGAGGGTAAATAAAGGAGAGAGGAAAGATTTATTGTCAAAAAACTAAGGGGAAGGTAGGAATCAATGAAACTATAATTTAGACTATATAACTCTTTTTGAATAGACTATATAACTCTTAACACAAAATACATATAGCTTTCACAAAAAGTGGTAAAAAATTAAAACGAAACGAAATTGGAATGAAAACGAGAAAAAGTAAACTTAACAAAGCTATAAAAAATTGAAAAGCAAGGAAATATCAACTAAACATTGCATTAAATATTGGAAAAAATACAAATACTTAAACCCAAAAACTTAAAGAAAACCAATATAAACAAAACACCATCAACGCGTGGAGGCCACATCGGGAGTCCACTCATCACCGTCCAATTCACCGAGGGATGCGACGTGTTCATGCTACTACATAAAAGAAACAATTATTGCACATTTATTTGGAAAAAAAGTTAAAACACAGTTTAAGTCAGCTCCACATGCACTTTTAGCTTTAAAGACCTGAAGAGAAAGTAGAAGAAAGACTCATCCTGTTGTCGTCGAGACCTGAAAAGAATGAAGAACCTGTGTGTGCATCTTTTTGAAGAACAGAATATTTTTTTGGTTTATTTAATAGTACAATTTGTTTCCTTTCTCATCACCTTGAAATAGTTTTAAATTAAATGAATTATATTGTATTTTTATACCCTACACCACAAGGTGGTCAGAGTATAATGTCTTTGTGCATTTGTTTTTAACAGGCAAAAGGGAACGAGATAGACCCATAGTTCCTTTTGATGATCTGCATAGAATCACATTTTGAGTCCATTTATGCATGTCCGTCCGTCTGTCCATGTATTTTTGTAAACAAAGTACAGTTCGCATTTATTGCCCGATCCAGATGAAATTTTGCACAAATCATTTGTTTGGCCCAAAGACGAACCCTGTTGAAATTGGAGATAATCGGTCAAAATTTAGATATAGTTCCTATATATATCTTCGTCCGATTTGGCTTTTATTGTGCACCAAACGTGTAATATCAGCCCGAATAGTATGGAATTTTGCACATACAACCAAATTAGGGCTGAAAATAAGCATGCCAAATTTGATTTCGGTTCAGATATAGTTATAGCTCACATATATATATTGTTCATCCAATGGCGCGCAAAGTAGAGCCTGAGTATTTAGCTGTCCACATTTATGTTTTGTTTGCTGTTCCTTACGCCATGAGGGTAGACACCTTGTCGAAAGTCACACCGATGAGATGTAGGCTGTGGTAAGGATATCAGGTTTGTTTTTGTTTTGAAGGGTCGTAAGTCACGATCGGCTTCCCTTTTTTAAAACTTGTACATCGGTACCGACGGTTCTGACAAAATAACAATATTTAGTTGCAGTATTTACTTGAAATAGTCCAAATTAGTTTGCTTACCTGTCCGTCCGTTCCAGACAACATGAGTAGTGCGAATTCCAATCTTGTCCTGGATATTTGCCCAG